TTTTAAACATCTCAGTATTTAAAATAACTTTTGTTTCGCTCGGTTTTAAAATATATAAGTTGTTTTCTAGTTTTGCAGAACAAATATGAATACCTCTTTTGCAAATGAATACTTCATTAATTTCAAAAGATACTTTATACAACTGTTCTAATAAACAAGAGATGGATATTAGATTTCTTTTCATTCCAGAAACAAAAAGTACATTATCTAATATAATGAATCTATCTCCAAAATACAACTTTAAATTTTCTACTGATCTTGCTGAGACAACTTCTTCTGTTCCAACCCTGAGTGTTATCTCGCCGTCCGCAAGCATTCTCCAGGAGCTAGTTTCTTGGTAAAAAGAACAAATATGATTAGTCGCCCCTGAATCTAGTATCCAAGTTGAGTTGTCATACTCTACTAAACATATTTCTACAACGAGTAAATCATATTTACCTTGTTGTGTTTTTTCGGCTTTCTTGTCTGCAAGGTATTTTGGGCAGTTTCTCTTCCAGTGCCCGTTTTCGTTGTAATGGAAACATTTTCTTTACTTGCTTTTTGAACCTTGTTCTTGCGGTTAGTAGAAATCTTATTTTTCCCTTTTCTCTTCTTCTTCATCAAAGCACTTTTAGAAGTTGAAGGTCCAGACTTATTTTTGGAGGACGGTCCTCGTAGTAATTTCTTGGAGATAGTAACATTTGCTTCTCCATTTTGTCCCTTGTTCGTTAAGACGGACTGATAAGTCTGTAGCTCATTGAGAAGAGCAGTCAAGTTATATTCTATTTTGTTCATTACCACATTGGTGCGGAACTGGAAGAAGCTCTTCGGAAGAGACATCATGATAAAACTGATTTGACTCTTCTCATCAATGACAACTTCATTTTCTTCTGTCACATTGAAATGGACCATCTTGTCCAGGACATGTTCTCTAACTGAGGTCCCTTCTTTCATACGGCAGTTGTAAATGTATTTTATGGCTTCATATCTAAGGGAGAAGGACGGTTGTCCAAACATCCCTTTTAGAGATTCCATAATCTCTTTAGCAGTACCCATAACATCGTGTTTCTTAGCCAAAACATCAGATATGCTGGCTAGAATGTACACTCGGGCTTTGTCATTTGCCTTTATCCATCTGTCATACGCATCCCGAACTGTTCGGTTTGCATTTGAGTTGGGGTTTGGAGGACACTTCTCAGTTAAAACAAACTTTAATTCATCAATGACCAGTATTGTGTTTAGGTTCGATTTTCAAGTTGTGTAGTTGTCGCTGTTTAATTTCTCAGAAGCAAGTAATTGTACTATTGAGTTTGTCATGATGTGATATAAAGAAAATTCTATTAGTGATTTGACTTAATCCTGTTTAATCCAATCAGTTTTAACAAATGTAATAATGTACCCAAATCATTATTAATTTGCAACGATACTTTAGTGAGTTAGAGCAACTGCTACCGAGGGGCAGTCAATTACTCATTCACTAAACCAAGACATTCTTGACTTAAACACTAATCCCAGAATAACTCTTGTTCCTATAGTGTTCTTAGTTATCGTTATTTTGGTCAAGAATATACTAACGCTTAGTAATTCTTCGCAAGTGTGACCCACCAATTTCAGACCTTAGAGATCGGTCCCAACAACGCTATCGAATGAAAAAGCCAAAGTTGGGAATGGACCTAAGAAATCCTATCCATTTCTGGAGTTTGCGTTGTTCCGACTCCCATGTTACGACCCTCCGAATGGTTAGTTGCTCTAGGGCAACATGCAGGCGAAACATGGGAATCTCACGGTGCAACCTAGTGGTGGAGACCATAGGACGTGGTGACTTCCTTCTCCCACTTACTATAAATACTTTCTCTATTCACCTTGTTATTGACTCATGCAAATACCTTCCGAATGGAGGACGCTCCTAGGGTGACATGAGGCCAAGCATGAATATCACGGTGTGAATTTTTCAGAGAGCGTGAAAAGGAAAACGATGTATCTCATATACCTTTTCCTCCCACTAAGTATTTTAGACGTTAGGGTTTACTCATTACTTAGGTATATTCCGGCTAATTAAATATAACCTAAGTCTAGGTGATTTTTTCAAAACTTTCATCACTCAAGCATGCTTATAAAACTGGGCTAACTAAGCTCAAGTACTGGTCCGATCTCCAGGTAGTAGGTGTTCCGTAAACCTTAAACTTAAGTACCTCCAGCCTTAGACAAGATCGTGCCAGGTGAGCTTTCTTGTGAGCACAATTTTACAAGACATCGACCTATTTTAACTATTAAAATTGATCGTGCTCGGTTCTTAACCCTAAGTGAGCATGCACTTATCTTTATTATAGATTTTAACGTCTATCTCGTTTTATGACATTGAAAATAACCTATAACATGCATCTAACATGCTTTATATAACAATTATACAATCATCCATTCATGCAATAATATAACAATTTATATCTATCACTCATGGAACCCTAAACATGCATACTATACATTATAACACTTATAACATACTTGGAAAGCATGAAATATGCTTAGCCTATGGTGGGATTTTAAATCTATATGACATACTTTATGCATATACATATTCTATTTAATTAAAGCATACATTCATAATGCATAATTAATTAAACACACTAAAGTGGGTTGGTTTTGGCATTTTAAAGCAAACAATTAACTAAATTATTACATTAATAATTAAAAAATAACTTGAGCCGCTCCCGAGGACCACGAACTGGGCGAACCAACCCTTAAAAACGTTGAATCGAACCCCAACGACAGAAAAAACACACGAACCGCCTCTTCCATCTTCTTCGGTTCTATTTGCTATCTCTTCCATTTTCGATCAATTACAACCTAAAATGGACTCAAATGACTCCATAATTATTACAGACCTTTCTTCATTCATTAAAGCCCATACACATTAGGCTTATTACAATAATTGTATCAAATGGAAGCATAAAAAAAATGCCAAAACCAAAACCATCCACTTTAGCAACAACAAATTTCATTCATGAAATGGTACCCACTATGATCAAATTAATGTAAATAAAGTGCCTAAAACTTACTCTGATACCAATGGTTGGTGTTAATATAACACATGCGGAAGCAATTTGGATCTTAGGCACTTTTAGAACATCAATTATAGAAAAAAAAAAAACTAGCATGTTCATAAGTATTAAAACATAATGAGTTTAGATACTAACCTTTTGTAGTTCAAACTCCTTTTTCCTCATAAATCGGTTTCGAACCACCACTAGTGTCTTCTCCTCTATTCTTTGGCCTTAGAACGGGATTGTGGAATCCGGTGAGTGACTAAACTTGGGAGGGATTTTATATATGTGAAGAGAGTGTTTGTGAGAGGTTTTTCACCAAGAAGAAGAAGACCTTCCATATACCATGATCAATCTATTTAAAGAGTCATCTTTGCATGTTCATGCAAATTTGAGATCCCCAAATTTTGACACTTAAAATTCCACTCAAATGTTTGGGATTATGTGGCAAGCATGCATGTTTGAGTTAACCAAATTTTGACACTCAAAATTCTACTAAAACTTGTGGGGTATATTTGGCAAGCATGCAAGTTTGGTTAAACCAAATTTTGACAATGTCGGTAAGGGCCCTTCACCTAGTCTAATTTTTATAGTTTCTCGGGCCTAGCCCAATCGGACTTTATCTGGTCATCATATCTCATCACTCGGCTCCTAAAATCATATTTATAGTTTCTTGTTTTTTAATTTTTTTTAAAAAAGTAATAAACCTTTAAATTGTTATTTTACCATCTATGATAGGTTGCAACATGACTTAATATGGTAGAGGTTCGTATTTTCCTCCTCTAATATCATTTCTTAATGTAAATGTTTATATTGTTAGACGAACACGACTCTCCACAATGGTATGATATTGTCCACTTTAAGCATAAGCTCTCATGGCTTGACTTCCATCATCCAACACCTCCCCGCGAACAAAGTGCACCTCCCCTTAATCGAGGCTCGACTCCTTTGGAGTCTTAATCATTTTTTACTTCCTTCGAGGAGGGGCTTGGCTCCTTTTTCTTTAAGAGTTCTTTGTTCGATATTTGAGGATTTTAGGATTTACCAATCTATTGGCATGACTAGGTTTAGGGCATGGCTCTGATACCATGTTAGACGAACACGACTCTCCACAATGGTATGATATTGTCCACCTTGAGCATAAGCTCTCATGGCTTTGCTTTGGGTTTCCCCAAAAGGCCTCACACCAATGGAGTTAGTATTCTTCACTTATAAACCCATGATCACACCCTAAATTAGTCGATGCGGGACTTCCATCATCCAACATATATTATTACCTTATCGTATATGGCACATTTTAAAGCGTCTTTTATATCATATCTTTGTATTGTCCTTTCCTTGTATAAATCTAAACGTTTTCTGTTAATTTCTCTCAAAGTTAGGAAAAATAAATGGAATGTATGTACTGACTTTGTGGTTTCGTTAGACCTTACACAAGGTTCTTTTGCACTAATCGAACATAATTTATGCAGAAGCTAAGATATGTTCAATCATACATGTAACCTGTATATGTATATGTTTACTCAATAGCAACTCTAACCGACTTGCCTCTAATCTAGGCTAAGCTCTAAGACTCGACCTTATTATTACTACAGGCCAAAATCCTTCAAATGCAATATTTTATCTCATATACTTGTTTTGATAATCAATCAAACCGTTATAAAGAATGTTTCGTTCTCCTGTTTCCACAACATAAGAATGTTTCATTCTCGTCCCCAACTAATGTGGGATCTCAACATCCACCCCCTTCGGGCCCAACGTCCTCGCTAGTACTTGATCCCTTCTCCAATCGATATGAGACCCCCCCCCCCCAAAATCCACCCTCCTTCGAGGCCCAACATCCTTACTGGCACACCGCCTCGTGTCCACTCCTCTTCGGGGTTCAGCCCCCTCGCTGACACATTGCCCGGTATCAAGCTCTGATACTATTTGTAACGGCTCAAGCTCACCGTTAGCATATATTATCATCTTTGGGCTTTCCCTTTCGGTCTTCCCTTTAAGGTTTTTATAATGCGCTAGGGAGAGGTTTTCACACCTTCATAAAGAATGTTTTGTTCTCGTGTTTCCATACTCTTATGAGGAATGTTTTGTTCTCCTCTCCAATCGATGAAGGATCACATTAAGAGCGTGTAAGATCATGTAAGATTAAAAGCTTATTGGACATTTAAATTTATCTAAATTATACATTTATCGACGAGAATGAGTTACCATTTAAATTATGATCCGGTTATCGTCGAGAGTATAATCTCATTCCCATTGTTATAATGTATGTACTTTTGATTAAAATGTTGAATTCGCTGGTAGATATTGTCTTCTTTTGGGCTTTCCCTTCAGCGCTTCCCCTCAAAGTTTTAAAATGCTTATACTAGAGTTTTTCTCACCCTTATAAAAAATGTTTCGTTCACCTTTCTAATCGATGTGGGATCTCCCAGAGAAAATGTCATATCTAAGAGAGTAGGTGATGACCAACACGATAGGCAAGAAGACAACATGCGAATGGCGCCCTCAGACCACTTGATAGCCGTAAAAAACAAATGTCATGATGCGACCAATGTAAGACCGTTACACTAATGATGTTGATTTGAACAAGCTTATAAAATAAATTATTTTGATTGGGTGGCTATAAATTTAATTGATACTTCAATGGTAAATAGATAAGCAAATAACAACAAACAATAGTCGTCCAAAGTGCGCCAAGATTGACCTGAATTTAAAAAATGACTCAACTCAACCTAACTCAGCCCATGAACACTCCAAATAGATGGTGTGTAATTACGATATCATACTACTATGAAGATATGTGGAGATTCATATTCGTCAGAATAATGTCGAAAAATATTGACCGCGACTCAATTTTTTTTACCGCGTTCTTCAAATTAGGGTTTTAGCTTTAAGCTCATAGATACAGGGCTACAGGCTCTATACCTTCGAAACTTAATTCCTACTGCTATTTCCTATGTAAATATCAAGATATTAGAAAGAGAAAATAGCTTTACGTAGCTGCCCTAAAACATAAAAGAAAAACCGTCGTCGAAAATTGGTCGGGAGCGAAACCGCTTATGGGTATACTGGCTACCAATCATACATGTCAAAATTATCAAATTTGAACATATTTTAAATCTCTTCCAATAATAAAAATGATTTTAACATTGGATCAAAACATTTGTTTCCAACCATTAATACTTTCCAAAAAAACAACAAAGACCCAAAATAATAATAATAATAATAATAATAATGAACATTGTTATTAGTTAGATTTTCTTTAACATTTTAGGCATAGTCATTTTCTTATATATATCTTCCATTTTCAACATCTTTCAATTGCAATATTCTAAAAGCAATCACTAAAAATGGCTTATGGATATGCATCTTCCATTGCTCTTAGATTGGTTCTCTTCATCTTTGCAATCTTCCTCTTTTCTTCGTTCGGTAATCTTTTTCTTCTCGTTTCATAATCATTTAATTTTTTTAAGTAAAAAACGATGGTACGATACTTTAATTTATGTTCTTGGAAAGAACTCGAAACATAAACAACAAAACAGATTTTGTGTTGTTTTAAAAATCGAAACATTTTCAACAATTGAAAAATAAGAAACGAAAACGTTATCAAACAGTTCATCTGTTATTCAAATCGGAAAACAAGAAACAAGAAGTAATTACCGAACGATATCGATCGGATCGTGGTTGAAATGTATTGTATTTTTGCAGGAATGGCGGGATACGAGTGCAGGAGCAAGTGTGAGGACGAGCCAAATTGTGATGAGTTCCGCAAAAGACTTGGATTCTTGGGAGGGAAATGCTTTCCTCCACTCTTTCAATTTTGTTGCTGCCAAAAGTGATAGAATTACAAAATTGAGCACCGCCTTTGATAATAATAATATTGAATTCAGATGGCTTTTCGAACCTGTTCGGTTGAGACACTTTTTATTCTTGTCATGGTTTTGCAAATAAAGACGTAATGTTATGGATACCTGGTCTAAATTAATAAAAATAAAGTTGTACTTTGTCTCAAAAATACTCTGAACTAAACTTTGAACGATTGTCCTAAAATTAATTTCAAGAAATTAAGTTCAAAACATACTTTCAGTTGGTTTTGGATAAAAAATGTTAGTATTTTGTTTCATACATAATCATGAACTTGATTAGGCTTCATTAATACTCTCCAATTTTTTAAAAAATTTAAAATGCCTTTACCATATTAAATGTCTAAGAACTTTTAGGAGTAATATTAACATTTTAATCTTTATCCTAAAAAGTTTTTACTGAGTAGATGAAAACGGTTTGTCTACACCTCATAAATTATCTCGATCCTCAATTTTTAGGGTAGGAATGATAACAAATATATATATATATATATCTTTTTTTTTTCTAAACCGTTTAAAGTATTAATGAAACTAGGACGAGATTGTTTTTATGTGTTCTAATTTTTGTGGGCTACATTTCTTTTGTAGGAAGACCATTAATATTAGGGATATTAGGGATGTAGATGAGTTGGGTTGGGCCTTTTAGACCAACTCGATATTCAAGTTGGTTAGATTGATAATCCAAGTAACCCAAAATTGTTTCGTAGTCCAACTCGACCCAACTCTCTATTTCCGAAATAGGTCGTATGACTAGTTACTATGATTGGTTGGTTGGTCGTGTGACTGAGACTGAGAGCGGGAGTAGCGCGCAACTGTAAGCAGCGAGCGGTGGCAGAAGGCAGCTTGCAAATGAGCAAGATCGAAAGTAGCGACAGTGTTGAAAGAATAAAAAGAAAACCCTAAAGTGGAAGGCTGAAGCTTAAAGTATTGGACCCCACTTGGTTTGTTTCAATTTTACACTTGCAAAATTAGTTTTAGTTGTTGACGGCTCCCATGGATCCAAACAATAGAAATATACTATTGTTATATTGGAATGAGTGACCACATATTACGTACTTACCAATTGTATGGACTTTTAATTTTAAAGCTATGAACAAATGTGAGTTTGGATATTTTGTATTCTTGTCATAAATGAAGGTAATTAGGGACGGGTTTGGTAACACATCCTCATTTATTATTTATAATAAAAATAAAACGTGATTGATAATGGGGTTATTTCTTTTAATTGAACCGAGTTATTGCTCTATAAAATTTTGAATTAAAAATGTAAAAGTATGATATGGAAGTTGATTTTATATTATGTCGGTAAGGGCCCTTCACCTAGTCTAATTTTTATAGTTTCTCGGGCCTAGCCCAATCGGACTTTATCTGGTCATCATATCTCATCACTCGGCTCCTAAAATCATATTTATTCCTAAGAGTTCCGTACATAATCCTTAAATTATAGTTTCTTGTTTTTTAATTTATTTTTAAGAAAGTAATAAACCTTTAAATTGTTATTTTACCATCTATGATAGGTTGCAACATGACTTAATATGGTATGTTCATATTTTCCTCCTCTAATATCATTTCTTAATGTAAATGTTTATATTATTACCTTATCGTATATGGCACATTTTAAAGCATCTTTTATATCATATCCTTGTATTGTCCTTTCCTTGTATAAATCTAAACGTTTTCTGTTAATTTCTCTCAAAGTTAGGAAAAATAAATGGAATGTTTGTACTGACTTTGTGGTTTCGTTAGACCTTACACAAGGTTCTTTTGCACTAATCGAACATAATTTATGCAGAAGCTAAGATTTGTTCAATCATACATGTAACTTCTATATGTATATGTTTACTCAATAGCAACTCTAACCGACTTGCCTCTAATCTAGGCTAAGCTCTAAGACTAGACCTTACTATTATTACAGGCCAAAGCTCTAAGACTCAACCTTACTATTACTACAGGCCAAAATCCTTCAAATTCAATATTTTATCTCATATACTTGTTTTGATAATCAATCACGACCAAAATAAGACCTTTGGAAAGTGTATCTCTAAACTTCATAATACACCTCCCAAAAGTCGGGGAATATGACGCCATCCTTGTTATCGTAGACCGGTTCTCAAAATATGCGACGTTCGTCCCCACTCCTAAATTATGCTCGATTGAACTAACAGCCCAACTATTTTTCAAACACGTTGTCAAGTTATGGGTCATTCTGTTGAACATCATCAGTGATAGGGATGGTAGATTCATTGGTACATTCTGGACCGAATTATTTTCCTTCTTGGGAACGACTTTAAACATCTCCTCGAGCTATCACCCTCAAACCGATGGACAGATTGAATTGTTCAACTGATTGCTCAAAGAATACTTATGTCACTTCGTCGACGCTCGCCAGAAGAACTGGATACAACTGCTAGATGTTGCTCAATTCTGTTTCAATTATCAAACGAGCTCGTCTCTGGGGATGAGTCCCTTTGAAATTGTAAGTGGATGACAACCGGCCTTGCCTCATATTATTGATCTATCCTTATGCAGGAAAAAACCCTCAAGCTCAAAACTTCACAAGAGAATGAAAGCATTCAACAGATAAGGAGCGAGGATGGGACTAGAGGAAGGGGGAATTAGGGTGCAAAATATGTGGGAAGTTGCACGGTGGAAGATGTATGGCCAAGACGAGATCTTGTTTTTTGTGTGACCAAGAGGGTCATATTGCCATCAATTGCACGACCATGAATACCAAGAATCTACCTAATCCATTGAGAGCATTAGAAAAGACTAATAGATCGATGCAGACTCGCGCTCAAGCTAGGGCATATGCATCCACAAATAGAGACACTGGGAGGTCCGACACCGTGGTGACAGGTACACTACCAATTTTAGGTCATTAAGCTTTTACAATATTTGATTTTGGTTCTACGCACTCTTTTATATCGATGCATGTATTGTCTATAAGTACCCCCGCGGGGTAGACTTAACATGTATCGTAGATGCAAGAGCAAAAGAAAAGACGTTAGACACGGTACTAGTAGTGAATGACTTTCCTGATGTTTTTTTTGGAAGACCTACTAGGAATACCTCCTTTCTGAGCTGTAGACTTCATCGTAGTGATGGTGTTAATATAACACATGTGGAAGCAATTTGGATGTTAGACACTTTTAGAACATCAATTATAGTAAATAACTAGCATGTTCATAAATATTTAAACTTAATGAGTTTAAATACTAACCTTTTGTAGTTCAAACTTCTTTTGCCTCACGAACCGGTTTTGAACCACCACTAGTGTCTTCTCCACTATCCTCCGACCTTAGAACGGGATTGTGGAATCCGGTGAGTGACTAAACTTTGAAGGGATTTGTACATGTGAAGAGAGTGTTTGTGAGAGGTTTTTCTCAAGATTTTTCACCAAGAAGAAGAAGACCTTCCATGTACCATGATCACTCTATTTAAAGAGTCATGTTTGCATGTTAATGCAAATTTGAGATCACCAAATTTTGACACTTAAAATTCCACACAAATGTTTGGGATTATGTGGCAAGCATGCATGTTTGAGTTAACCAAATTTTGACA